AATCCAGATTCTTGTTGTGAGAAAGAGACTGTTTGTTTGTGTTGTAGTGTTATACTGAAAGGAAAGCCGTGAGGCTCGCACTTCCCAGAAGGGAATCATAAATTATCATACACTGTGTTTGACCGTGCTGAGAACAAGGCGACCTGCAGGTTCAATGTCTGAGTGAGAGGTGAGTTCTTTTGAAACTTTAGCTTTCTAAGCTACAAGTTACTCATGTTTAAAGTAATCAAAATACAGTCAAACAATTCTTTAAAAATTCTTAGCTAAATTATGAGCATCTAAGAAATGTTAGCTACAAATCCTCAGAATGTTTTTAAATTTGGCAACATCTATGTAAATATATACACTACCACTCAAAAGTTTGGTTTTGAAATAAGTCTCTTATGCTCACTTTTTTTCACTTGGTTTGATACAGTTGAACATTAATGTTGTGAAATATTATAACACTTTAAAATAACTGTTTCTATTATAATATATTTAAAAATGTAATTTATTCTTGTGATGGCAGAGCTGAATTTTCAGCAGTCATTACCCCAGCCTTGTGTCACATGTATTTTCAGATTTTTTTTCTCATACACTTATTTGCTGCTCAAGAAACAATTCTTCTTTTGATCAATGTTGAAAACAGTTGTGTGGTTTAATATTTTTGTGGAAACTGTGATAAATTAATTGCAGGATTCTTTGAAGAATAGACAGTGCAAGAGAGCAGCATTTATTTGAAATGGAAATCTTTTGTAATGTTATAAATGTATTTACTGTAACTTTATTGTGTCAAGTTTATGCATCCTTGCTAAATAAATGTAAAGTTCTTTCAAAAAAATCTTGCAGAGCCCAAACTTTTGAGCAATAGTGTAGTTATCAGATGATATAATGTAAGCGACTACTGAATGGAAAATTTATTTATTTTTTTTTACTGAAAAGGCTAAATTGTTTTGAGAACTGGTAAACTACTCTCACATTACTGAAAAAATGTCATTGGTTTATTTAGTTGCAGAACATTGCATAATGTGCTGGCATTGTGGTGGCATTGATGTGTGTGTTATGTGCATGTTGCAGTGCGTCGCTGTACTCCTCTCTCTGTCCCTGACAATGGCTGGATGAAATGTGACAGCGCGGCTGATAATTACGGGGCCACGTGTGAATTCCGCTGTCTGGGTGGCTATGAGCTGAGGGGCAGCGCCGCCAGAGTCTGCCAGTTTAACATGGAGTGGTCTGGCCTGGAGACTTCCTGTGCTCGTAGGCAAAAACACATTAACACCTCACAAACACTTACAGTCAGCTTAGCTAGAGAAATTCCTTGCATTATACATTATACATCATTATATTTAAGATTACATTGCATTCCTGAATTCCTGAATGATGCTGCTTATTCAGGTAAAATATTCAAATTTAATATTGTAAGGCAGATTGTTAGAATAAACGATGGCAGAATTTTTATGACAGAATTATTCATTTTATTCTTATGAGATTAAACCTCACAAATCGTGTAAAATTCATGATCTTGCTCTTCCTGTCCTGCCCTCTGGTGAATAACATCATAATCATTTGTTTTATTAAAAGCCATGAATATTAATGTTGGTGTGCGGTCTGCTGCTGCATTACTGGACCAGTTCTATGAGAAACGCCGCGTTCTGATAATCTCCGCCCCCTCAGCTGCCAATCACTACTACAGATTCCAAATGACTAATTTACAGGTATAAGATCAATATCTGCCTTTTTATTCTACATTGACTTGCACACTAAGGGCTGAGAGTCAGTGTGAGATCTTGTACTTTTTTTGTAAAAAAATAATAATTTGTGTGTTTGTTATTTTCTGTTAATAAAAGCTTCTCCGATGCCTGACGCCACACCCACTGTGTCTGTCGTTTGCTCCTCCCCCCACTATATATATATATATATATATATATATATATATATATACTACCAACATGTTCAAATGATGGTATAGATTATACTTTAATATACAAATGATTGTAAGATTAATCTCTCTCATATAAAGAGAGAGAGATGAATTTTACAATACTGTGTAAGATTATACATAGATAAGCAACTAAACTGGAATGATTTGTATTGTGTGTGTGTGTGTGGTTCAGCATGCCCAGTGTGGTCTGGACTTGAGACATGTGACAGTGATTGAGTTGGTGGGGGTTTATCCAGCTCAGATTAGCCGCATCAGACACAGACTTATCCCTCCAGGACTAGCTCTACAACTCAGGTACTTCATTACTGTATTTCAGTCACTTGATTCATTTTCTTCAAATGCTGTTTTGTATATCATTTCAAGAACTTATGAGGAGCTTTTAGTGAATTGATTCCAATATTAAACACATCACAATGTACATCTAAACTAAACGTGTGTGTTTTGTTTGTGTGGGACAGGTTGCTGCTGCAGCTGTCTCAGAACTCATTTAACATGGTGCTGCTGGACAAACAGGGAGTGGATAAGCAGCGCTACACTTTCCCCATCACAGCAGCAGAGATCTTTACCACCATTGACACGTTTCTGCTCCGCACTGAAGAGTCCACACTACAGAAAGAGGCTGGACAGAGCTGCTAGATGTATATATACAGTACACACATTTACATCTGATCCTACTGGGTATAAAGCTACCAAACTACACAAGAGAGAGTCTGGTTAGAGCTGCTACATCTTTATCACATATTGAAAACACACACATCTCTAAACATGAGTCTCTGTTGTTTGTCTTTTTTATGACGCTCTACTCTATTTTATTTGCCTGGTGTCTCTATTTATGTCAGAGTGGACAGTATACTTTTTTTTAAGAAATACTATCAAAGCAATATTATTGCAATAAAGGCCTGTTTGATGATTGACATTTGAGAGCATGGGACTCAGCTTTCTTAAAATGCCAGTCATGTTTATCTCAATTCTCTGGTTTGTCAAATAAATATGCTCAAATTGAATCGAGTACAACAGAGGAATGATGAATATGTTTTCAATTTATTATATATGGAATAATGTATTAAATGTTACAGTGGTGAAAAAGGGAGAAGGCTAACATTATTGGAAGCACTTTGGCATAGTGTTTTATTGCAATTTCTTACAAGAAATACAAGAATTTGAGATAAAAAAAAAAAGTTAAACACAAGATCAGCCACCTTTGCCACCAAAATAAATAAATTACATTTTAAAATAGATTAAAACTGAAAAGTTATTTTAAATTGAAATAATATAATTTGGACTGTATTTTTGATCAAATAAATGCAGCCATTATGAGCATAAGACGTCTTTCAAATAATATGTGACCCTGGACCACAAAACCAGTCATAAGTCGCTGGGGTATATTTGTAGCAATAGCCAAAAATACATTGTATGGGTCAAAATGATCGATTTTTCTTTTATGCCAAAAATCATTAGGATATTAAGTAAAGATCATGTTCCATGAAGATATTTTGTAAATTTCCTACTGTAAATATATCAAAAATGTTTTATCATTAGTAATATGCATTGCTAAGAACTTCATTTGGACAACTTTAAAGGCGATTTTCTCAATATTTAGATTTTTTTGCACCCTCAGATTCCAGATTTTCAAATAGTTGTATCTCGGCCAAATATTGTCCTGTCATAACAAACCATACATCAATGGAAAGCTTATTTATTCAACTTTCCGTTGATGTATAAATCTCAATTTTAAAAAAAATTGACCCTTATGACTGGTTTTGTGGTCCAGGGTCACATATATAAACCTGTGTTTGTGTGTTTGCATGTGTGTATGTAGAAAGAGAGAGAAATATAGAAAACTGCAAATAATGATTAAGACATGGAAAAAAAGAGTAATGAAAGAGCAACAGTTGTTTAATAATAGTTTATTCTCTTTCTGAAGATGATAAAGTACAGTACAGAACAATCCTAAACACTGTCTTCCTGATGAGAGTGGAAACAGCACACACACACTGAACATGCTGTGAATCAAACAGCTTCAGACGATATTAGACACGGTAACACTTGGATGTCAAACACTGAGCCTTATACATGCCACAAAATCTAAATTTACTATACAGTAAGTTGTCTATAAGGTCTATTCACTTGACTGATGCTAACAAAAGTATTATAGGTATTAAGGACACATTCATGGAGACCTCACAGTGACATGATAGCTCAATAGCATCAACTGGGGAATTATCTATTAAACTCGGCTCAAAACTCAATATAGGGGCTCTAAGCATTGTACTTATGCAATATGTGTGCATATGTATGTATGTGTGTGTCTGTGTGTTTTGTGATCCTTTTCTGTATTTCTATCCACTTTTATGCTATAAATTCAACTCAAATCATACGTTTTTATAGATGATTTTAGTCTTAGTTTTTCTTTGAATTTTTGGTTTCGATTATATTATAGTACATAGTCATTTTTTTCCTTCAGAGTGGGGTGATATGTGTGTGATAGATCAGTGGCAAATGGGGAAATCTACCTGATAGCAATGATGTCAATGTAATATTTGCATGCTGAATTGTGACTAGTCACTATGAAACATGGTGTAGAAACATTTAATGGTGGAGAAATCTAATCTTCCTACTTTATCTACTCTACATTTGTGTTTACAACAATCATTTTACCAAAAACATTGGAATTTCTTGGAGGAACTGTAAATCTAGTTCAATATAATGAATTACATTGGCCCCAGATATTGTTTTTTTACATTTAAAACTGTGGTAAAACTAGCTATGAAATTTAACAGTCAGCATCACTCTCTCTCTCTCTAGCCAAATGTACGTGTATGTGACAGATCTGACATGATTATCATAACATCTGTGCATGTCTATATAAATGTGCTCATAGAAATTATTGATCACATTCAGTACATTGTTCTCATGTGTGCAAGCGTTACATGCAGGTGCTATCTGTGCAAATTGGATTAATTTTATGTAGAAAGAGAGAGAAATATAGAAAACTGCAAATAATGATTAAGACATGGAAAAAAAGAGTAATGAAAGAGCAACAGTTGTTTAATAATAGTTTATTCTCTTTCTGAAGATGATAAAGTACAGTACAGAACAATCCTAAACACTGTCTTCCTGATGAGAGTGGAAACAGCACACACACACTGAACATGCTGTGAATCAAACAGCTTCAGACGATATTAGACACGGTAACACTTGGATGTCAAACACTGAGCCTTATACATGCCACAAAATCTAAATTTACTATACAGTAAGTTGTCTATAAGGTCTATTCACTTGACTGATGCTAACAAAAGTATTATAGGTATTAAGGACACATTCATGGAGACCTCACAGTGACATGATAGCTCAATAGCATCAACTGGGGAATTATCTATTAAACTCGGCTCAAAACTCAATATAGGGGCTCTAAGCATTGTACTTATGCAATATGTGTGCATATGTATGTATGTGTGTGTCTGTGTGTTTTGTGATCCTTTTCTGTATTTCTATCCACTTTTATGCTATAAATTCAACTCAAATCATACGTTTTTATAGATGATTTTAGTCTTAGTTTTTCTTTGAATTTTTGGTTTCGATTATATTATAGTACATAGTCATTTTTTTCCTTCAGAGTGGGGTGATATGTGTGTGATAGATCAGTGGCAAATGGGGAAATCTACCTGATAGCAATGATGTCAATGTAATATTTGCATGCTGAATTGTGACTAGTCACTATGAAACATGGTGTAGAAACATTTAATGGTGGAGAAATCTAATCTTCCTACTTTATCTACTCTACATTTGTGTTTACAACAATCATTTTACCAAAAACATTGGAATTTCTTGGAGGAACTGTAAATCTAGTTCAATATAATGAATTACATTGGCCCCAGATATTGTTTTTTTACATTTAAAACTGTGGTAAAACTAGCTATGAAATTTAACAGTCAGCATCACTCTCTCTCTCTCTAGCCAAATGTACGTGTATGTGACAGATCTGACATGATTATCATAACATCTGTGCATGTCTATATAAATGTGCTCATAGAAATTATTGATCACATTCAGTACATTGTTCTCATGTGTGCAAGCGTTACATGCAGGTGCTATCTGTGCAAATTGGATTAATTTTTTTATTTTGTGTGTGTGTGTTTGGAGGAAGTGATTTGTGCTTTGTTCTTTCAGGACAAATGTGACCTTTAATTGTTGATAATGTTCACTGTGCTCTTTTGAAATAGTCCTCATGTGCTGTTCAGAGTTATGACCAATGAGTGTTTGGTTTAAAATATAACAACACCTGGGTTGGAGTGTAGCGTGTCGCACCATTTACACCTGGTCTGAGATTCGTCTCAGCTGTTCAATCACAAGCGGGCAGTGCTAAATGAAGACAGGTCAGTGAAGGACAGTGTACACCTGCCCATCATCCACTGTGGCAGAGAATTAAAACTCTGCTAGTTTCATGTAGCTTTAAAATCAACTGTCCAATTAAAAACATTTTTCAGTAAGCCTGATATCAACATCATTTGAAGCACACACTTTTGAAGGGTGCTTAATACAGGCACACGACTAAAAAAAAATTATGAATGCAGTTTGAAAATTGGTTTGTGCTTAGATTAAAATTTCAATATATTTGGAAGAGACTTTGTACAATTTTTTTCTCTTCCTTTTTTCAAATGTTTTATGCTTTATCAACATGCAGTACTGCACTGACATAAATAATGTGTGTAGTCATAAAAATCTGAGTTTCTTCCCTTTGAAATCTGATCCCATGTTGTCACAAGAGACACATTTGAGAAACCTGTTAACATCAGGTGTAAATGCCAATCTGTCAGCCAAGAAGGTGTAAATAGAACCTTAGAGGTGCATATGTGTGTATATATGCATGTGTTTTGAGAATTTAGAGTGCATATGAATGTTGGAATGAGAATCTGGGAGAATCTAGTGCGAGTACTGCCAAAGAACATAAAGAGCACTTTACAGTGTCTATCAGATTTGATGAGTATTGCCAGGGAAACTCTCTTTCTTTCTTTCTCTCTATGTTTTCCTTTTGGCCATGCTGGATCGCAGCATCAGTGTGCACTCTTGCAGGACCTCAGGGTTGTCAATCATGCGTTGCCATAGTCGCTGCTCCTCCCCGTAGGCATCGTTCCAATCTACTTCTTTCCCATAACTCAGACCTGCAGGTCACAAACAGGTCAGTTATGCTCTGTATGCAAGATCAAAACGAGAAGAAAATATAGCTGTGCTGCTTGAATGTCAGACACTCGTGGGGGAAATAAAAAAAATAAAAATCTCGTTTAAAGAAATTAAAGCTGAAGTCCGTAACTTTTTTTTGGTTAAAAATGATCAAAAATCAATATTTGAGCAAGTACATAACCAGCCAGTGTTCAAAACTATCGCCTTCTGTTTTCTAATTTGAGTGGTACGGGTAGGAAGCATGCCGCTTCGTCATTACGTCACGTCTGTAAACATAAAGGAGTTGTCCCGGCTACTAGGTGGCGGATCGTTCATAGCCTTTTCTCACAGCACCCTGAATAATTAAATGTCAAAAAATAATTTTGATGGCGGATTGTAATCCAGAAAGGATTATATGAAATACATGTGAATGAAATAAAGTTATATTCCAGTTTTAAATGTGCTTCTGATTACAGATAGCCTGGGATTACACAAGATTTGTATTTTAAAGACAACCAGTTCAAAGGGAGCATAGTTTGCTTTTTGGGTTAAAAGAATTTCTTAATATGAAATTGGAATGGTATGACAATTAGAGATTAGACTGTACAGAAATGGAAATCTACACACACACTATACTTATAGTCACGCAATGCTGATGTTGTTAACATTAATAATCTGAGAATAAAGTATAACAATAATAATAATTTTTGTTTATAAGACTTGTTACTTATGACAATATCCGGTGAAAATTCTTATTTGGGTCATATATTCCAAGACGTAGGCTAGAATCTGTGATTACTAAATATAGGATTCACACCAGTGCGGTGACTGACTGCCACACATACTCTTCAGAACCTTAGATTCATCAGCGCTGGAGCCGTGCCGACTCACAACCCACGCAAACTAGATAATTCCGC